GGAAGGTGAGACTGGGGAGGTGTAGGGGCGAAGAGCACAGTGTGGGTTGGGGGCAGCTGGGACTGGGGAGGGGTAGGGGGGAAAAGCATAGTATGGGTGTGGGGGAAGGTGAGACTGGAGATTAGTGATCTGCGGAGTCAACTTTTTTTGACTTCGACTCCGAGTCCGACTGCGAAAAACTCGGAAGTTTTGTTAATGTGATAGAGCGAGGTCTCATATATTTTAGTGCTTAGATATCACGATGCGCAAATGGATAAGGAAACAAACGAATGAATAAAAATCAAGAGACATCATGTTAATATTAGTTTAAACCCCCCCCCCCCCTCTATAATAAAAGACCCCTTGGTCTTGTATGATATTTTGCGGATCAAACTTTTAAAAGGGTCTTCTATTATGGGGTGATCTTGTAACACGAATTTGTGAGCGTAAACTGCCAAAAATCAATATCATATTTTGTGAAGTTTCAGGTAATGTCGTTCGTCATGATTATGTTATTTAATAAATATGAAATAAAAATCAGAGTGGGAGTTAAAATGAAATTTTGAAAAGTTAAAATGATTACAACCGTAGTTATAACTTTCGACCTTGGTTATAACATTTAATCGTGGTTAATACAAGTTATTATCACAATTCTGTTAATTAGATAGAATTTCTCTCTCTTTATCCTTAGTGAGTAACTGAACTGAAGCCATGTTTGGACAGAAAGTTCTTAATCAAAAATTGAACTTTATTTCAGGAGATAATACGAATTTTTTAGAAGGTAATGATAAAATGGTATGAACTATTTTGTAAAATGCGGCTTCGATTCATTTACTCACTAAGATTAAAGAGATAAAAATTCTACCAAGTTGGCAGATTTGAAATAATAACTTACATTAACCACGGTTAATTATTATAACCACAGTTTAAAATTATAACCAAAATAGCTTTTGGACCGAAAAGTTGATTATTTATAACTCAATAGTTGTAAGTCAAGTTATAACTCAGCCCTTTTTAACTCCAGCTCTAATAAAAATAGAAAAAAACGAACAACAACTGCAAATTTTTTTTCACAAATTGATGCAAATTGAGCTGTTTCAATTTTTTATTGCTCCCGATGTTAAATTGGTCCGGTGTTTCACATATAATTTTCTGCATCTTCGTTCTGATTATCCTCTTATTTTTAATTTTACTCGATTTGTGTCTGTTTTCACGTGAAGAAAACATTTTGTAGATGTGCATAAACGAGCTATTACTATATTTTCAATTCTTCTGTATCTTTCGTTGCAGAATACACAATAATATGGACAATTTAATGAAAAATATAATAACTTAAAAATTTTTTTTAATTTGAAGACCCGGGTCTTCTATTATAGATTTCACGTTTTTTTTGCAAGAGGATCTTCTATTATGGGAGGGTCTTTTATTACGAGAGGGTCTTTTAATATAGAGGGGGCTCTAGAATTTTTTTGATTGTTGTACGAAGGTGAAAATAATAATGACCAAGAAGCTTTTGTTAAGAAAAGAACTTGAAAAACTAATAGATGATAGTTATGCATCTGTCAGGCTTGTACAAAAGAAAAGAAATGTAAGTTCTAGTCAAATACGGGAGCTTTTTCATCAACATGCAGTATGTCCAAACAATCAAGAACTGATGATGAAAATAATTATAGTAATTCAAATGACATTGAAATATTTTTAGATTAATGTAGTTGTTCTTACGAATGTTATAACGAAAACATGATTTATTTTTTTTTGTCTTGAAACTTATTGTTAATCTATGTAGAAGCTGTTGTCATTTATTTTTGATTACTACGAAGAATAAACTTATTGATTTATAAAAACATAAAATTTTATTAGGTGTGGTTATGACTTCGGACACTGATTTACTCTTGAGGGTGTAGGTGTGGGGGGAGGGGTAGAGGAGAAGAGCACAGTGTGGGTGTGGGGGAAGGTGAGACTGGGGAGAGGTATGGGGATGAGCGAAGTCTTGCGGTAAGGAAAGGTAATTGTTCGACTTTTTTGGATTTGCGGGGTTAATTGGATTCCGTGGATTCCGTAACATCCTTGAATTCATTGGATTCCGTGACATCCTTGGATTCCGTGACATCCTTGACATCCGTGGATTCATTGGATTCTGTG